GGGATGCCTAACTTTAGTATAAAGCAATGAGTCTGATTCGATGACGATATCGAACTAATATGAACATTACTTACGATAATTTTGACCAAAGAAACTGATCACTATTACATTTAACAAAACTGACTTAGAGCGTAAGTTAGCGCTTAATTTTGCATTTTAGTCTCCAGTTAACCAAACATAAAAATCTCTGCGTTTTGAATGCTTCATCTTCCATTGGTGTTAAAGAGATGTGTCGATATCACTAATTGGTTTTTATTGTATTACGAATCGCCACAAGCCTGGCCGTGTGTGAAAGTAATTTTCCAGTACAAAAAGTTCTCATAGTATATTTCTATTTCTTGCAAAGAACTTGTGGTGTTGTCTGATAATTCAGATACTGTCATATAAATATTAGTATCATGAACTGTTTAGTTCCGTTTCGTTTCGATGATTTTCCTATTCTTGAGTTTTTGAATTAACAGAAAACCGACATACCTACGAGGTCTAGGGACTTGAGTACATTGTATAACTCTATGAGTACCTCTTTTCGGGGTATAAAAGGCTTACCTAATATATAAAACTTTTTAAATCTCTCACAAGCGATACTTGGTCTTAAGATCTCTTACGTCTCAAACCGGGGATAGCTGTCATGTAACTGGACAAGGATGCACTAACAAACTAACACTAACTAACAAAGTCAAAGCATCTATTGCATTGCATTGTCCGTCTGTCTATCTGTCAGTGAATGTAGGCTTGTTCCAAAGAGTAGTTTCGACAAAAACGAGGTAGAAACAAATCATTACTCTTTTCCAATCATATTCATTGACAGCCAAACGTTCGTTTAAAAACCGTTTCTCAATATAGGCCGTTACACATTTTCCTTTTATTTATAAAAATATTTTCAAAAACATGAAATGATGAAACATGAAAATACTTGAACTGTTGAACTGATCACAACTTTATTCCGGTGAAGTTGAAAATAAATTCGAATTCAATTAGTGTGCATCAATTTGTTGTCTGTCGATTTCAATATTCGAGAATGTTGGATAAACTGATATATTCGTATGAACTGATGGTGCTTCAGATTTTTTTACTGAATGCTCGCAATTTTGTACCAAATGCATGTTCATTACTATAGACAATTTTTCATTGGCCCTTGGGCTGTAATTGGACACATTATCACAGAACAATGTTCTTGTTTGTTTGTTTGTTTACCAGTAGTCTGCCGTTTCGTGTTTTGGAATGATACTGTTATTTTTCTACTTTGTTTTGTAATTTAAAAGTGAAATATTCTATCAGTTATCATTTCTCATTACGTATTCTGTGTTACTTTTAATTACGTTCATTGGATTAGAAAGTAGCTATATACTCTGTGCACGTGACAAAGCTACACTTTTTAATCATCATCATTACAATAAACAGCCTATATGTGGCCACTGCTGACCAAAGGCCTCTTCAAGCACGGAGAAGATTTGTGCGTTAATCACCACGCTTGCTCGATGCGGGTTGGCGATTTCAAACTTATTTTTTGAAAGTTTCCTCACGATGTTTTCCTTCGCCGTTTGTCAGTGGTGTCTATATAATCTCGTACCCTATTAAATATATTTTTGTTGCAAAAATCGTATAGTTGTAAATCAATTTTGTTAAGACATAAGATTTGTTAAATACTCACAGTTTGCACCAAAATGTAACTTATACTGTAAGCTGTATAAATGTTATGTAGGCACTGATAAATAATGAACAAAAACATCGTTGATCAAACTATCCAATCTTCTAGGTAAATAACGATTCAATTTTGCAGTTTGATGTGTAAAGTTTGACTCCCGGGTTCATCATGGTCACACTTAATCTATTGAACTCCGCAACTCGTGCAAGTTCGATATACTCTTGTCTCTGATGCAACTTAGAACTTGGTGACTTAGAACGTGCTACTATTTTATTGTGATATGTCATTGTTCATATAACATAAAATGCAGATTTATAGTATATCCGCTTTTCGTCAGTTTGTCCACGGGAATCAATTTACAGGATTGAACAAAAAAGCTTTCGAAATATTTATGAAATAGAATACAGTACAGTATAAAATGGTACACCTTCTCTAACGTCACAGATGCCTCGCCTTTATAAATTCTAAACGGATGTCGACATCTCGACGCCTATTAAAATGCTGATTCTTAAAATGCACATAACTTAAACCGGGACAAAACTGACCCAACTCCTATTCGACGACTACACCTAGTATTACGTTGACACCATTCAACTGACAGCTTGTCGTCGTGAACGACATAATGTACTAACAAAAAATGTTTCAATGGAAAACTATAATGACGCCGATTTAAAACAGACTACCTACATTGGAAAATACACCTATTGTTAGTTTTATTCATAACTTGCCGGTGTAGAGCTCAATTTAGTACGTAGAAAAACGTAACGTGTTAAAGTATATTTCATGAGGCAATAGAATGTTTGCCACATTTTTAGTGCTCTAAAGCACAAAATTGTAAAGTTCATTATTGTATTCGGTCTGCAAATGTAGACTTAATAGTCTAGAAGTCCATAGACTTCTGGACGGCTATCACATGGACAACCATAGGCATTAGCATAATAGTACCAACGCAACACCTATGGACTTCTTAATAAAAGAATTGTAATCGAGTGAATAACAACATAGAACACAAAGCAAAAATATCCAAATGTAGTAGTTCCCAATAACATGAAACAAGTACTTATTTCAACGTTTACCACGTAATCCCCGTAGGGTAGAACGGGACCTGTATTCAAGTTGGATAACCCGGCCATTTCGTATTAAAATCAATGACAATGCATAATATTAAGACTTGGTAAATTGATCTACAATATCTCTTCTATGTACGTGATACTGTATACATAACGAAAGTAATAGAGCACTTTATGGTGTTATTTAATTTCAACCCTTAATATAAAGAGCAGCTATTAGGTAAACTTTAACGTAGAAAAAGTAAATAAAATCGCGGGACGGGCTGTGGTATGCTAATCCCTGAATAGGTACTCTTTACGTAGTTTGTAACCAGACGCGTGACAGCGATGCAATTAATCATGGAGTCTTTGTGCCTGACCTGTGATGTCACATATTTACGTATGCATACCTATGTGAAGTCACATCAGTCTCTTTAATTGCAAATCGAACCCTCTGTGGGCACACCCCTTAAACCGTCAAAGAGCTGATTTGCACTAGTGCGCCCGACATTGTTAACTCCGGTTGGGTTATTATGGAATCCAACTGTACATGAATGAACATGTAAACAGATCTCGATGTAGGAACTGATGACTGTTGTACTGTGCAATTTCTGCCGGACGCTTAATGAATGGCCTGCATTGTTTAAACAATTTTCCTGAACCAACATTCTCTACTATTCGAATTTCTTCAGTCGTAATAACATCTTTTTTAACATCTAGTCTTTTACGTCTGGCTTATGCACAAGTAAATAAATAATAAATCAAACGTCGTCGTCGCCGCAGACTTAGCGAGTGTTACCGATTTATTTCTAGCGTTTAACGAGCTGTCTAATCATAAATTCAACTAGAAATGCACAAAGCTCGGTTATAAGTGGAAAATTGTACAGTGATACAATTACTGCAATTATTTGTTCGCTGTCGGTTTACAATTAGGCATCAAGTCTTCGATATTTAATTTGCCATTTATGTGCACTAAAATACATACGTTCACTAAGTGGTTCACTATTTGAAATACTTTACTTCATTCGGTGATATTCTAAATGTATTTTGTGTTGAAAATTTAAGGCGTAGTTACACCTGTCGCGGAGAACCTAACGGGTAACCGGGGCTCCGGCTCGACGTGCAGGAGAAGGAACGGGGTGGTTTTTAGTCAGTAAGAGTCTGACACTCCCTCCCGCCTCACCCAGGCGGGAGCAGTGATAGGATGATTTTCGCCCCTTAAAAAAAAAACTACTCTATTACAACAATGTATAGTACCTATGGATGTGTTGAGAGTAAGAACAAGTTACTTTCATGAAAACGCATATTATCTCCTGGCTCTAAGTTCATACAATGCATAGTTTGCGTAACAGATGTGACAAACAACATAGTTACAAATAAACAATTATTACCTGAGAATGAAATATTTTCATATGGTCTGTGTAGGTAACGAGACGGAAGAAATGTTGATTGGAAACCGGATACAAGCATTTTAATAAAATGTTTTTACACTATCGCACGTCACCCTTGTGCTTCAAACTTTTAATAAGCAACCTATCGAGGGAACGATAATGCAGTCTGCAACTTTTAATTTCTTCTAAGAAAACTCGCGGACTAATATGGAAAAACACATTGTTTACTCTATAATATATACATACTTTGAAGTGAATTAAAAACCACTCTCAAGTAATATTTTAACCTCGACAAAGGTGTTTTTTCAGCTCAGTCATCCTTTAAATTTCCATAACCAGATTTCGACGTTATTTCAATATTGTCTATTGTTTTTCATTAATTCTAGAAGCTTCATGGAATTCAAGCTACTAGGAAAGAGTAAGAATAGTCTTAAGAAATATTTATCTTTGAACTATTCTCTTCTTGAAGTTAGGTCTTTTACAAAACTGAAAGCTTCTAACGGTATTAACGTGAAGTTGTTTAGCCCTAAGCTAGCATCAACAATTGTATTTTACGTTACCTTGGCGGAAAACTATTGTTTACACTAGCCACTCAAACGTCCGAACAACTGAAGCGGCCCAAAACTATATAACATATAGCAATTCAATCGCATTTACCACTCTTTGTGGCTTTTGCTTGGTTATGGTTCAGTAGAAAGATTTAATTATTATTCTGTACAGTTTGCGAAATAAACGATTTTCAAAATTATATAATATATATATTTCAAAACAACAACGGAGTGGCGTATAAAGACTCTTATATAGCTTAAAGTTGGTAATTGAGTAACCGTTTAAAGAAGCAATAAAAGCTTTTGCAGCACTGCAGCTGCTTTATTTACAGTGCAATGCCTGACATGTTATTTCTATTGTCCACAGATGGAACGTGCCAACCGCCGCTATATTCTAACCCAGGGTCCTTTGGCATTCACCGTGGGACACTTTTGGTTAATGATCTGGGAACAGAATACAAAAGCTATATTAATGCTAAATAAAGTGATAGAGAAAAACGAAATAAAGTGCCACTGGTATTGGCCGCAAGGTATAGGTGAAACACATAAGATGATCTTCAATGATGTCCAATTAGCACTTGTCCTTGAGAAAGAAGAAGATTGCTGCTACTATTCCACCAGGCAGTTCAAGTAAGTGCACAACAAATATAATATAGATTTCTATTTCCTATCTCAACGATCTTTCACTTTGAATGCACCACTTACTATAAACGACATCCTGACAAAAATGTTACTGTTGACTTTTAAAGGGGTTGTCAATTTGAAAACGCTATGCCTTATTGAAAAAGATTCCAACAACCAATAAAAATAAAATTAATTATTCGCTCTCATGATATTCCAGTCATATCCTTATTATTGTTTGACCTCCCGAACGGCGTTAGCATCATATGCTACGCCGCCGACAAGCTGGTGCTAGCGCACGGGAGGTCGCACCAAGCGGCGGCCGATTTAATGGCGACAGCGGTTGCAACAGTCGTTGAAAGAATCCGGCAGTTGGGACTCGAGGTGGCGCTCCATAAGTCAGAGGCCATGTGCTTTCATGGCCGCGGGAACGCGCCACCTCCGAGTGAGTCCCAAATAACGGCGGGAGGGGTTACCATCGGCGTCGAAACGACGATGAAGTACCTAGGACTCGTCCTCGACAGTCGGTGGAACTTCGTGGAGCACTTCCGACGTTTGGCTCCAAAGTTGGCTTGGCTGGCTTTGGCTGCGTTTAAGCACATCTTCCCCAACCTCGGGACGCCAAACGCCTCCTGCCGGAGGTTATACGCCGGGGTCGTGCGGTCCATGGCCGTCTACGGCGCCCCTGTGTGGGCGCCGAACCTGATGCGGCGGCGCGCTCGGGCGCTGCTCATGTCACAGAGGGTCATGGCGATCCGAATGAGCCGCGGATACCGCACAATCTCCGAGGAGGCGGCGAACCTCTTTGCCGGATTACCGCCGTGGGATCTGGAGGCGAAGGTTCTCGCGCGCGTGTATCGCATGCGCGCGGAGGCACGTCGCCGGGGCGAAACTCCACTGCCGCGCCAAATAATTGCGTGGCGGGAAGAGCTCAGACGCGATCTCATGGCGGAATGGCAGCAATGACTGTCGCAACCGAGGGCTGGGCTCGCTACCATTGCAGCGGTAAGTCCCTCTTTGAGGAGTGGCTTGGGAGACGCAACGGCGCCCTCACCTACCGCCTGACGCATGTCCTCGCCGGACATGGAAGTTTGGGGAGGTTCCTGTGTCTGATAGGGCGGAAGGAAACGCCCGGGTGTCATCACTGCGAGGACCGCCCTGAGGACACGGTGGAACACACTGTGGCGGAATACCCTGCGTGGGCTGAGCACCGCCGTGCCCTCAGGGAAGAGATCGGCGATGGCGACCTCTCGCGTCCGGGCCTAGTGCTTGTAGGTGGTTTTTAGTCAGTAAGTCTGAGACTCCTTCCCGCCTCAGGCGGGAGCAGTCATTCGATGATTTTCCCCCCTTAAAAATAGAATCGTAATTATTGTTTATCCCGATGATGAGTTTATATACGTAATTAGTATTTATTTTATTGCGAAAATATTGTTCTTTAGTAATTACATACGATAACGACGCATCAAAAGTTCTTAGCGATACTATTGAAGAACTTTGTCGATTTAATCCGCCGTGACCGCTCTACACTAACTCCATTATAGACCTTATTTCCGATGTTTAGAGACTTGTATGAACAAATTTGGGGATTTGCCATACGATATATCAACGTATTAATGTATTTCAGTATTACCAGGTATTAAATTCATCATTCCTAACTCGAAAACAAACACATTGATTCTGCAGTGGTACAAGATGTATATACATATGAAATCCGCCGGCAAACGTGTGACGAGCCAGTCATCAAATTGATGGCAAGGTCGCTCGCTACGGGACTTCCAGGCAATTGACGCGGGCTGATATCATATTGTTCATTGATAGCTGATTCAATCAATTGATACTAGACGTGTTTAATACTTGAAGATCATCGAATTCAAATAAAAGATTAGAAATGTGTTCATTATCCCCTTGAGTTTAGGTGAAACTTGCTATCTGATTTACTAGATTTACTAGAAGAATAATTTGTCGACCCGATATTACCTGTGTACCTAGCAATAACAAGCCATCAACAAAACAAAACAGAAATGAAATTTGAATTTCCAACATAGCATAACATAACATATTCTCAATATCATATTCTCGAAAATATTTCTTCATATTCATCTGCCAATATTTGGAAAGGAGAAGGAAATGGCACCATAGATTCCTGGGCCCAGGTGTTAACTAAATGAAATTATCCCTATATGTAAGAGGATATAATATCAAGGCTTAACTGAGAATTTGGTGAAATTTGGCTTCTTAGAAACCAAGATTTCTGAATTATAGTAAAAGTTAGGTTATAGTATAACATTGTGATTTTTTGTGTAATTTCTGAAATACTCACTTCGCCACTGACGAATAACTGTTAAAATCGCCTCATTCTCCAAGACTTTTCTCCCAATAGGATTACTGCGACCAATCGCAATCGTACAATTTATAAATTGTACGATTGACCAATCGGTATACAGCGTTCCATGTCGTCGATATCCAATCGATAGGTGTAAACGTTGTCCAAACTAGAGAGTAAGGTAATTTAGAGTAGCAAGATCCGTCGAATAGTCCGTTATAATATGCAAAGCCGAGGTCGTGGGTTTAAACAACAAAACAAGGAAAATACGTGCGCACTCAGAATGAAAGTAAACAAACAAGTACATCTGTCAGTCATTGTCAATCAAACGCATGCTAAGGTCTGAAACCTATAAAGTTACCGTATTGTACGAAAAATTATAAACATCTTCGCATTCGCATCTTTGCAAACGCAGTAGCAGTTTTATAGGAAATCACGGAATCATGGACGGAAGGCAACAAATTTTTCAGAGGTATGTTGTGCTGCCTTTCGGGTATTGAATTTTTTCTCCCTAAGAAGTTATCCAAATTCTGGAAAAAATTGTAGTCTGTAGGCGCAAGGTTTGGTGAGTAGGGCGGTTGACGGAGACCTTCCAACCCCAGATCTTGCAACTGTTGTGCCGCGCGTTGTTGTGCCGGAGCAGCGGAGACGAGCGATTGACCAATGCTGGTTGGAGATGTGCCTGCTTCTCTATCAGTATGTTCATTTTTTCACAGTACACATCTGCAGTAATTAATCTGTTTGGTAAGAAGCTGTGATGCGTCGCTAGACCACCAAACAGTGACCGGGTTTTCGTTTAGGGAATCGTTTAGGTGCTAAACCAGGATTCAACCAACTCACTTGCGGTTATCAAACAGAATCCATTTTTCATCGCAGGTGACAATGCGGTTCAAAAGTCATCCATTTGTGTGTCTGTTGAGCAGTACTAGGCATGTCTCGATGCGTAATGCGCGCTGGCAATCATTGATTTGGGGTACCCATTTGTCAAGCTATTCTACATTGTCAATTTGACGCAAATGAACCAATATTGTTTTGACGCTTACATCTGCTGCTAATTCAGCCATAGATTGTATATCAGCAGCTTCCATAATCGCCTTTAATTCGTCATAGTCGACCAAAGTTTCGGATGACTGCGAGGTTCATTTTCAGGTCGAAATTTCCAGAACAGAAGCGAGCAAACCAATTACAGGTTATGCGTTGGTTTGAAGTTTCAGCTCCGTAAACGTCGCTGATGTTGCGTGCCGCTTGTGCTGCATCGCTGCCACGACAGTACTCAAGTCCCATACCAAATAAATACTCGAATTTTTAACGTATCCATGATGCCGAATAAGATTAAAATGCGATGAAAAACTAACACTAAAACTGTAACACACTTAGTGCTACTGAAACAAATTATAAAATTCCATGTTTTTAAAATAAAATTAATTTGGAATTAAACTGACAACAAAGAATATTTTGAAGTATTATCTAAATCTATTTAATTTACAAATGCATTGCATCTGTTTAGTACTTATCTATATAATTATCAAAATCTAAGTATAGACAATGTTTTATATTGAAATTATTATTGATGAAAATGTTGTACTTCTATGGACCTCTTTCTTTCTAATGCAGAAGTGAATGGACTCTAGTCACCTGCCACTTTCATCTCATTAAGTCCACCTGTACCTACACGTGTTTTTTTGTACTTGTCTCAATAAAGAAGTAACCAGAGTCCATAATTCTCCTTATGGAGAATACGCCATAACCCTACGTCAGCGCTATGACGCGACGGTTGTACGTTGTGCCACAAATAATGTTGAAAATAACAAAATGAATGTCGAAACCCCGAATTTCATATGAAATACGTTTATAAAAGTTGATGTAGGCACAAATTTCATTCCAAATAGGTACGTTTATGAACCTGCATGTGTTTTTTATTGTTTTAGTTCCACGCTGTTAATGATACGTTTTCTATCATTTTCGCAATTTCAACCATATCTCGTGTGAACTCTGCGTCCAAATTACAACGGATACCTTTAAACCATAATTAATTTTGGTATATGATAGCGATTAACTAAAACTTGATGTTAGTGTTGATACGGTAACGCGATTATCTTCGCGGTGGCCCTTCAGATACACATGAGTAAAACGCGTTTTATTAAATACTTCTATGGGCTAGTATAAAATTCTTAAATTCGACCGACTACCTTTATTTAAAGTAGAGATATATTTCCATGTTTAAAATTATTACGCACCAAAGGAGAGGGGGACTTCTGGGCCCAGCAGTTGACTACGTGAAGTATGTCTAAAAAAACCCGGTACATTTTTCTAAACAAAATTGCAAAATATGGTACCAGGATTTACCCAGGAAGCGAGAAAAATTAAATTAAGATAACAAGACTAAATGATCGATTAAATAAGCCCTAGTAATCGATTATTAATAAATCGCTAAAATCTGAGAATATTTGGCTGATCTTTTTTTTTGTCGTGTTTGTTATTGTCAAGAGCGCTTGCTCGTTTGATTGCGCGTACGAAGTTGCGGGTAGAAGCTAATATGTATATGAATATCAATTCATTAAGGTTTCGTGAAATCGATTTAATCGATTATAGTGTATTTTTTTCTGACAAACCTTGTGCTAGCGTTTGACTGACAATGACTGACAGATGTACTTGTTTGTTTACTTTCATTTTGAGTGCGCACGTATTTTTCTTGTTTTATTGTTTAAACCTATGACCTCGGCTTTGCATATTATGACGGACTATTCGACGGATCTTGCTACTCTAAATTACCTGACTCTCTATTTTGGACAACTGTTACACCTATCGATTGGATATCGACGACATGGATCGCTGTATAAATTGTACGATTGCGATTGGTCGCAGTAATCTTATTGGGAGAAAAGTCTTGCAGAATGAGGCGATTTTAACAGTTATTCGTCAGTGGCAAAGTGAGTGATTCAAAAGTATTTCAGAAATTACACAAAAAATCACAATGTTATATTATAACCTAACTTTTACTATAATTCAGAAAACTTTCTTGAAAGCCAAATTTCACCCAATTCTCAGTTAAGCCTTAATATTATATCCTCTTACATATAGGGCTAATTTCATTTAGTTAACACCTGGGCCCAGGAATCTATGGAGCCATTTCCTTCTCCTTTGGGGTAAGTCACACCTCATTTGAATTGCAATACTTTTAAATTTAACAAAGCTAATACATTCGCTTGTGTAATGTTAGATTGACAATGATATGATTTCTTTGTGTACTTGTTATGGACGTTTATGTTTCCATGGGATCCAAATTGACTATTGTTATTAGGTTTTAAATAACCTTGACTGTTTGTCTTTTTGTGTGTGTGTGTGTGTGTGTGCGTGTGTGTGTGATTGGCGATAAAAATATCTCGAATCATCGGTTCCCTAACAGTCCCGAACTCAAACTCTTCAATTTTGTTTCCGCTTTCGGTTAGGAAGTGTTCGATGTTTTCGGATTCAGCCTACTTACGTGTAAATAACGTGTATCTGCACTTGTTCAGATATTTTCTGGGGTCGAAGAAATTATGAAATCAGGCCTTGACTTCTTTTAGCCTACCTTAATCCCACGGGACAGGAACTATGCGTTAGAATTCCGGGACGCTGTATCGCTTAAACTACTGAACCTATTTTAGTGCGATTCGATTTCTGGGAAAAGATTTTTTTTTTATGGAATAAGCCGGTAAACGAGCTGATGGATTACCAGATGGTAAGCAATCGGCGCCGCCCATAGGCACCCCAAACACCAGAGATGTTACAAGTGCGTTACCGGCCTATGGGAATTAGGAATTTGAGGATTGTTTGACATTTAGGGACTGGGAAGATTGGGCAGGGGGTTAATTGGATGTCCGGTAACCTTACTCACACTACGATACATAACGCATGTGTTCTTTCGCGTGGGTTTTCTGTGAGGCTGTGGTATCATTTCAATCAACAGGAACTGCGTTAAACTTCTGGGTCTCTATCCTTCATTCAGTTCGAGACTCGGAAAATGACGCCTAAGAGTTTTCAACCGCTGTATCTATTTGATTGGAATTCAAATAGAGCTTTAACCAATGAAACCTTACAGGGATGGATATTGTACGGGTAAAATCCCTGTTTAAACTGTCAAACACCAAGCTGTCACCGGTGACCGCAACCTATTGTTCTATAATTGTGTCTACCAAACCGGTACTCGACGAGTTAAGTAAATTAAAATGTTTATTTTTTAAATCACGAAAATGAACATTCACAATACATAAAACTTGTCGATTCTGATGAGATTTGTTTGCAGCATTGAAATTAAACATGGAAAAGACTAATTAAAAAATCCAAAATTTGAACTCAATTTTATACGTGGGGAACAGCTAGTTTCAATATAAATACAGTACCATAGATACTTAACATCTTACTGACAACAGCCAGTAATGATCTAACAAAACCGAATAAAGGGAATAATCACTCAAAGGTAATGTCTGAAAACTTCACTTTAAACGAAACTGTCTGGACCTTTGATTCATTAGATTAATTAATTAAGGACGAATCCATGTGTTGGACAGTCCAGAATTCAATGCAACAAGTCTCAAGTCTTATGTCTAAGTATTACTCCTGAGACTGCAACAGTGCTACTTTTTGTTTGATCTTTTTCACGGCTCAAAGACTTCCTTTTCAATTCATTAAGAACATTACTGTCTAAAGGATTTACTATATACACCATACAAATAAAAGAGCATAAATAACAAATGATACTTTTTTCAGAAGTAATGTCTATTAGCATACATGCATGGTTTTTGAAATAAAATTAGATGCCTAAATTTTGATGTTAACAAAATATTTGAGTAGTCGAAAGTCATTTGACTACAATGCTGAGGTTGTATTGTCATGGCTCAATGCTATTTGTGTGCCATTTCATTTTGTATGACTTGGCGTTTACCATGGTCATATTAGAAAGAAATATACCTTTGCCGTAATACAGGGGTGGTATATTTTGAAACGTTTTTATTTATTGAAATTTTATATAAGCGTGGCTTTAACCCAACTCACCAAACTTTAAAATAAGAAACCCTTCCAGGAAAACTTAGGGCAAACAAGGAAAATGTCGAAATTTGTGGGGTGACCATACCCCATGAATTTCGACATCGACATTATGTCATAAAAATAATAAGTACTTAGGTAGGTACCTATTTTAATTAGATGATGTAATCGCATTTTAGTATATTACATTACTCATTTTCTATGTGCTTAATAAGCACATTGCATCTAAAAGATTCAACCTAAACAGGAGTGCAGCTGGAAACTAGTCGCCTTCGTGTCTGGCCCTAGCAAGACTATATTATGAAAATATTTTGAGGCGCATTCCTGGCCTCAAAAACGTGTCAATATTTCGCTAACACTGCAAAAGAAATACCGATACCGCGCACCGATCTGATCCGATCAGATGTTCCTGATGTGCTTATTTATTTCAAAATCGATTTCTGATACTTTGTTTCGACATAATTCTGAGGCTAGTGCTAATTCTTAGATTTTGAAAAACCAAAACCCCGCGACTGCTTATTTGACCTTTGCACTTTGACAAAGCAGCCAAAGAGCCAGTAGAAATTTATTACACATCATAGTTCAACTATACCTGTAGCATAATTGTAATGTGTTTGTAAGATAGAAATATACATATACATTTCCAACTCCTTAGGTTGTATGATCTTGAGAGCGGTGAGAACCGCGATGTAATGCAGTACCACTACACCACCTGGCCGGACTTTGGTGTCCCCACTTCGCCAAATGCGTTCCTCCAGTTCCTGAAGAGAGTACGAGAGTCTGGGGTCTTGGATCCTACTGATGGGCCTCCAGTTATCCATTGCAGTGCCGGTATTGGACGATCAGGCACATTCTGCCTTGTCGATTGCTGTCTTGTCATCGTAAGTAACTTTTTAAATATATCCGTTTTACTTTTATGGAATGTTTGTTGGAAAAATCATGGTATTTAAAACCGTTGTGTTAATAACGAAGTAAATCCTTCTGAGGTGATATAGATTTTAATGTTTTTGTTATATAACTTACTCGGTTTCTCAACCAAGAGGGGTCATGATTTTTACGTAACTCTTTCGAACAAACACCCTTGTACCGAATTTCCTTCTCTATTTATTTTTATTTTATTTGTTGTTTTTCAGAGGGGCTGAATAATATAGGTATCAACTTCCTCTTGTGTACTGTAAATCATTTTTTCTAAAAAAACCGTACTAGCGCAATGTTTGTACGATTTTCTTGCCTTAGCTCAATGTAATGGTGTCTTGTATTCTTCAATAAGTAAAATACATTGTACCGTGTAGCCCAACAATCAAACTAACTTTAAAAAATATATAAATTCACTGCGTTAGTTAAAATCTCAGAATCTGACCATTTCCATGAGTTTTGTATAAAATTCACGGAAAATGTTAGTTATTACTATTATAAAGAAATGTCATTTCATGATGTCTGTTCATAAAAGCATACTTTTTCTAAGGAAAAATGAACTTAAAACGAACATTACACGTTGGAAGACGATGTCGTTAAAGCAAAGCATTGTTAATAAGTTAGTGCCTAATACAATTTGCTTCTACCGTATCGTTATTAATTAATAGCGAATACTGGCTGGTTCCTTTCGGGAAACTATGTACCATATATACCAAGTAGATACTTGCAACACATAGTTTCCAACCGTTTCCAACAACCGTTGTTAAATATAGTAGTAGAAAGAAACCCATTGCAAGGGGAAGAGAATGTACCCAAAAAATACGGAATAATAAATTACGCACGAACTGAGGTCGGGATAAAGATGAGTGGGCGTTAGAAGAAAAAAATCGGTTTATCGGGATTTGCGAAAGGACTGGGTCTATGGGTCCTACAGAAAAAAGTTTAATGGCAAAGTTCTAGACACTGAAAAGCCCTACAACTTTTGTGTTTACACTTTTTATTCATATCCACAAAATGAACGCAAAAAATTCGAAAAACTTAAGTAAATAACTGATACGCTTCGTATTTATTGAAATGCCAAAAACCTAAAGAATCGTGTATGAAAGACATCTTCTTTTTTAAGCGTTAACATTTCGTGGTAAATTATTGAATTTTTCAAATAAATCGATCTGTTTCTTGTAACTCAAAATCTCGACTCAAAACTTCATTCTAGTACTAGAGGTATTTAATGTTGTTCCAAACATTACCTGCACCAGCCTATTCATTATAGCGCGGTTATCAAATATGTAAAAGCGGCATGACGGACGTATATGCATTGTACATAAACGTACGAACGCTTACTACGTGCATTTGGACCCAGGTAGCGGTCGAGCGCGGACGTGGCCAACCGGGAACCACTTAACCCTTCACATTTAACGTGTTTATCAAACAAAATTTAACAATGTCCACTTCTTCGTCGTCTTTGTCGACCTCGTCGTCCTCTACATCCATCTCCTCGGATAGCGTTAGTGGCTTGCGATTTTTAAATAGTTATTAATACTAGTCATTTACGATTTTTCAATTTTACAAAAAAATATCGTATCTTTTTAGTTTTAGTTAATGAAGTGCCTTCAACAAAGTCATTTTAAAGTATGACGTTAAATTATTTTAATCGACCAGTGGTGTTTTGTTTGATTTTAAAATTAATTAATTGTTATTTTAAGTGAAGTTTCAAATTATTTGCTTCGTTCAGTGATATGATTACAGATTTATTTACGCTGCTGCCGCGAATTGTTACTCATAAATTAGAATTTATACTATTGCAATGCGCGACGTTATATAAATAAAAAAACTTAAGTAATTACAGATTCAGAAATCGAAACGTTTTACAGTACACCAGCGTACGCACAGTTACTTCGACGTTTTTAAAATTTAATGGATTATTTTTACAAAAAGCTTTAACGTGTGCTGTCTCTTTAGGTGGAAACGAAATATTCAAACTGCATTTATGAATTTATGTCGCGATTATGATGGCTTTACTATCTCTTAATCCGGATTATTGTGTTACGGCGGGGTTTCATTCGAGTTCGTATTCACCAGGTGGAAAGGGAAGGGATCGAGAACCTCAACATTCAAGAGGCGCTCCTCGAGATGCGTCGGCACCGGATGGGCCTGATCCAAACTCCTGATCAGCTTCGGTTCTCCTACCAGGCCGTCATTGAAGGTGCGAAGCGCCTCGACCCTAATTACGTAAGTACTTTAACTTATTTTTCATTTTTCTGCTTGATCGATCATATAGGTACACAGAAAACGGTAACTATGTAAGAATCGTAGCAATTGGCATTCCATTGTTTCTGCTTACCCCCATGGGAGACAAGCGTCATGTTATGTATACGCAAACCTTAGTTTAATACAAACTTTTTTGTTTAATACAAACTTGAATCGTTTTTCTTCTAATGATATCTTCTGATTTACGTCCTGCAACTGGATCCGGGACATGAGTCCCTGAGACGCGCGGCCGCGACTTCTTATTTTAGTGTATTCAAGATTGTACCTACTGTTGCTCCTGACTTGCAGGAGCTGCATCAGTTTTGGTAGGTTGAAGTCCTTAAAAAATGCACTTCATCGTAATAAGAAGTGTTTTACTGATGTAGTGTATCCACTATGACTCGATACGTTTAAGCTATTAGTGATAATTTAGCTTAGCGAAATGCTAGCAATGTTTCGGTGGAAATGTGACTTTATTTACAGCATCAACGGACATTGTTAATCGAAATATTGCACCACGCTTATTATACATAGTAGGGAGAGGGGATATAGCTACGGACTTATAGGCACTATCGATAATTATGATTATTTCTATGCGATGTTGTTTCCGCTCGCGCCCGTTCATCGCTCGCAATTCCAGACTTAAGGGTGTAATGAGAATTTCGAAATGAAAAATTTATCGAAGCGGGATTCCACTTGCAGTCATAACACTCACACATGTGTCTTAAATTGAAGATAGGATCTTCCGTTCGTGTATTGTTGGTTATTACAATAGATGCAGTTCTTTATTGTGGAATATTCTAGTATTGTGACACGACAGTCAAGGCTACAGCCTGATAGGATACTCTGCAGGGTATCTATAGAGTCCAGTTTGTATCATTGAACATTTTACTTAATGCTTTTATTCCATGAAAAGGTATACAGGTGTACACATAATTTACCCCGTACCGCCTTAACTGCCTCATTGGCCGAGTGGTCGCACGTGGGACGGCGCCAAGGGATCTCGGGTTCGATTTTCGGGGTTAAGCTAAGTACGACTGAGTTTAAAAAAAAAATCTCAGTGGTAACACTGAGTCCGGATTTGAGCCGGGTATACGGCAATAGGCTCACCCCCTATTACATGGGACTCATAACATAAATAGTGAAAAGTGGGTGTTACATTACAGTGACATTCTGTGCACCTCTGCCTACCCCTTCGGGGACAAAAGGCGTGATGTTAGTATGATGATGATACCGCTTTTACTATAAGAGCACTCGCGGCCCATGGCCAGGTCCCCAATCCTCAAGGCGGCCCGGAAGGCCCGACAATTTCTGCGACGGACTCACCCGCTACACGTTGCACGGCGAAGGAGCAAAACTTTGTGTGCTCCACAAATTGTTTTTTCGGGTCTAGGTGTCATATATGTGAATTTGTATGTTTGTAAATACACCCACGATACAGGAGAAATCCTAGTGTGTGTTCCAAAAGGGCCCCGAATTACTGTGTGCCGCAGCGTAGTCTAAGACGGCGCTGTGTATACATACAATATAATTGTAATCAATTTTTACCAATTATGTTGTAATTCTCTGCTTACCCTTCCGGAGTTCATAAATATCGAAAGTACCGCAATTATAAAATTATAAAAGCTCAAAATATTATGGGGTTGACGAGCAGACGATTCAACTGATGGTATGCAATCTTCGCCGCCCATAGACACTCGCAACACCAGAAACCTTACAAGAGCATTACTGGCCTTTTGGGGTTAGGGATCTGATTATTGGGACCGGGAAATGGGGAGGATTGTGCCTCCGGTAACCTCACTTAAACAGCGAATCACAACGCAAATGTTGTTTCACGTCACTTTCTGTGGCGGTCTCCGGTCGAACCGGACCATTCGTGTGCTCACAAAAGTGTGAGACATTTATTTTCATCTATTCGTTGGAATTGCAATTATTTTATTTTCATATTTACTTTTTACATTAACATACCTAATATGAAACGGGCATTTAGTCCGTAAGTTAGGTAATGAAAAAATATTAGACACGTATTTTTTTATTTTGTTGTATAGGTACTAAAATAGTACCTAAATAAAACGAATCAAAGTTCAGGAGTGGGGGGCTAAAACGTCATTTCTACGTATAAAATGTACATAGAAGTGACGTCACGCGACATTTCAAATCAATATATCGGCGAAACTATTTGTTTCTGTAAGAAAATAAAAAATATGAGTCTAGTGTTTTAAAGTAGGTACTTAATCTACAAGACGGACATTAAATTAAAAATTAGGCATCTACCCTATTACTTGTAAGCTACGTTTATAAACACTGACTTCAGCACCCTCTTTTTTTGAAGTCGGTTAATAACTAGCGCCCGAATACTGAAAGGCTACTCAATTTTAAGTAGTACTTAAATATCGTGCCATCTCTGTCATTTTACTAAGAATTTGTAGTGACAGGGCTATACTCAAGCGTCACTTAAATTGAGTACTTAGCATTTCAGTATTCTGGCGTAAAACCTTCATGAAATTGCAAAAATTGGGGGCGATGTAGTCGAGGCAGTCGTGTCATAATTACGGTAATTGTCTTACTATCGCTTCAGACGTTCCAAAGACATTGTTCATAGACGTATTCTGTCAACGGGTAAAGAAACAAGTCACACGTGCCGAAATATCTTTTCTATCCTATCCTACATAATTGCTTTAAGGTTTATTTCCGGATGTAAGACAAGCGTAAGATGATTTTATCTAAATTGTAAACGAAAAATCTAAATATTTATTTATGGTCGACGGCACGGTTGGCGCGGTGGTTGGGCAACTGCCGCGAAACGTGTCCCGGGGTCGTTTCCCGCACGGAAAAACTTATTGTGTGATCCACAGATTATTGTTTTGGGTTTGGTTGTCATGTGTATGTGAACTTGTATGTTTGTAAATGTACCCACGACACAGGAGAAAATCCGGCAACGTGTACTTAAAAAATAATTGTATTACGATGTATAATTATCGTTTCATTTGTGTGAGTTTGGCCACAGTGGTTCTCATAGTAATAGTGTTGGACGAGACCCTAGTTTTTTCCATTCCATTTCATATTAATGTAACAAACACACTTCTGTAACAAACGCTTTTCTGAAAACCGCATCGACATCGGTTGAGCCAATCGCGAGATATTTGCGCACATACATACAGGTCAACATGAGATCCTCCTTCTTTTTTTGAAGTCTGTTAAACATATGTGTGTTCATGTGTACTTGCAGAGAGATGAGGACGAACGCGAGGACAGCATTTACTCCCTGGTGGGTGAGGAGGAGGCGCCGCCACCACCACCTCCCCGCGCTGAGAGCCTGACCCGCGCCCCGGGCCGGCCACTCCCCGCCATCCCCGTCAGCGAGTCCCTCGGTAGGTTTTGGAAATTCTTCCGACGCCACGATCGCACGCATCGATGAAATATTCGCCATCATCCTTTTATTTTGTACGTTGAGTTGCTTTGTCACCCCGTTGTGTTGCAATGTCTTCCTTCGTCGACTTACATCGCGAGCCGCATCGCCACGCCACGCTCCAGTGTCGTCTTTATCTATTCGCAGTAGAATATCAATCGCCATCACCTTACCACTGCTACATTGTAGCTTTACACATTTAAGATAATGTAAACCCTAAAATGAAACTTAATAATATAACATAATTATACAATATTCAAATTTTCATGTTGCATTTCAATGAAAACATTTTTATATTATACAATGGACATACATTTATACACAGTGCAACATTTTGATACATTTTTGGATTAAAATACATATATATATTTACCATTGTTAGAACTCGTTGATTCGGTTTGTTCCGTTTGATTAAAGCCGTCAGGTTAGAGAACATCGAGGAGACGTGGCCGATGAAGCGGACCGGATCTGAGTAAACATTTTCATTGCAGCGGAGTATGGAAACATCTCGTCGACTCAGATAGGCAATAGTGCATGCCATTCTTGTCTTAGTGTACCTGTTAGAGTAAGGTCTGAGAGGTTCTACGATTCTATGATGTAAGACTGTGCTCTGTTGAGAGTGAGGAATGAGAGCTTTATCTTATATGAATATTGGAATGATGGTAGCATTACCGCGCCGAGGTCTATCTCACTTATACACAGCGCGTCGGCCACGTGATACTATACTCATTTCAATGTGCGTTGTTCGTGTTTATAAATATTGATGTTTTACGTGTTATAAACATTTTATAGATTTTTTGTATCGATGTGATTGAGATCGTGTATAACGTGGTTGCTTCAGTGATGTGGGCGTAAGTTTAGCGGATGATCTGTGTTTTCTGGACATGTTGTTTCGGCTTCAATTTTACTGCTACAGTGACATCGCAATGTTGAAAGAAATTACGTCGATCTAGACTTCGTCCGTTTTGTTGATACAGTTCACATATTTTAAAAGATATTGAACAAAGCATCAACTTATTAATAAGATTACTATCAATAAAGTAAAATGGCAGTACCGAATAGCTGGTTGCGACGACACATATTACTCGCTATCCCACCTATCCTATTACTCGCTAACCTAACGATATCTCGACACATCGCTATATTCTTTCACTACAAAAGAGTTATAATGTTACTATGTTATTGGACAGGCAACCTTAACTTCAGCCAGCAAGATTCCAGCTCGGATGAGAGTCCCCCAACACCGCCATCGCGTGACAACTCCTTGTCTGCGTCGTCCGCTGATGATGAAGACGACGAGCCGACGGCTGCAGTGGCCGAAAGGTACTTATCAGATGTATTAAGAAGAGCCATGAGATGCGCTTGCATACAGAATATGAGGAATCTTGGCCTTAACTGCCAGCCCCTCAACCCTAACAATGAACCCAGGGACGTTTAATTAAATATCAAATTTTGATATTAATGGTCATTACTGTCGTTTGTCTTTTTTACATTTAAAAGCAACTGTCAAATCGGTCGTTTTTGTCTCGAATGATAATGTTGCTTGCACAAGTTAGTAGAGGGAAGTTTGGGAGTAAGACACCTTTTTAAATAATAGGAGAAATACCTACCTAGTGTTCAGAAAGTTTAATAACGTTAGAGCTTGTGTGAGCTTAGTTCGTTTGATACTTTTTAGATTTAAGCGTTTGTGCATCGCTAAATGGATAAAATTATTTAAAACAAACAATTGTAAGCGAGTTACGCTTCGATTAAGAGTTTATAGGATGCAAAATATAAAGAACTTGCACGGTATATGTACATTGTTTGATAGTAGTAAAGGTCTAAGTAGATTAAGTAACTGTTTTGTCATACAAAAGAGAGTAAATACATATATGTATATTTTAGACATGGATATACGCACGCAAATTCGAACACAGGAGTAATTATTTTTATAGAAATTTAGGAGATTTCTGCTTTATTGATATTATTGGGAAAGTACACATAACACGTGTAGCACTGACGAGATGTGATTCAAATGGTGCGTTGTTTGTTAACAAATAAAATGTTTAAGGTTGTTAATCATAAGAATAGTAATTTTTAGTACAGTGTAGGACATGTTCTCATCATAATGTTTGTTATTTATGAAAATAACAATTTTTATGCATTTCAGCCGTATTTTCATAGAGTATTGTGATGTCTGGTAAATTTTAACTGTACTTACTTTTTATACCACTTTAGTTGTGTTGTCCACACTCATGTCCAGTGTGATCGTGTGTAAGCACAAATCAGACACTGCTTCCGTAGTATCAACAGTTTCAAAGCACTCTCTGTTAAATAGGAACGAACATTTTTTATTAGAGTACGATATCTAAAACAAACTTTAATAGTATTACAATAGAATAGAATTCATTAAATCAGGATGGATATTACTTCAAACTGCAGTAGTTCCGTTCATCCATTTAGTGCATCAACTAGTAAGGATCACGTCACTCGTATAAAAACATATAAGAAAAGTACATATATAGCAGTCTATAGGTATACTTTTCCTAAATGTTTTTACATCAGTTCCTAGAATTTATCTTTGCATCATTTACTTACGGAACATGCATGCATAAATATTACAATCAAACCAAAACCTCAACAAATATAAAGAATCTCTATCTGTTAGTAGGTAATTCGAACTATTTGTTGGAAAAAGAAAGTTACTCATTCGTTAATTCATACAAACATGATTAGTTGACACTTTTAAGTTCTTGGGAATTTCCTTTGAAAAATTTTGATGTTTACTAGGTAAAATCAACCTGTACATTAACAAATTACAATCAACATTGATTTTCCAAAATTTTCAAAATGATAATATTCAGATACTCAAGTTGATAAACTTGCAAGTTTTTCAAAGGAACATAATTTTGGTCAGCGTTCATAAATTCGTGTTCTTTTATAATTGTACTGTAAATTTGTTTGTAATTCTGTGCAGTTCTGGCGATGGAACCGATACCCTGCGTCGGCGGCGGAATCGTGAGTTGGCAGATCGCGTGCTCAACATGAAACGGAAGGCGCGGGAAGCTGAGAGATGGCACCGGATTAAGAGGTCGCTGTACAAACCTCTCACCATCACATTCGGGTTTATATTGGCCGGAATCATTATCTACTCATACGTCAAGCACTAAATTTCTGACGCGCCCGATTTTCTATTTCCTACTTATATTACACGATAGTTACATTTTTGAGTCGAGTTTGCATCGGACCCACTTTCTGAGCAATTTTTATTGCATTTCTCCTTGAGGGAGGCCTCCCTCCGCGACAAATGATCCAGAATATTGCTTTTTGACGGCACTTCATCTCTCACATGATTTAACCATGCATCATGCATTCTCGCTCAACTTACAAGTTGGAGTCGACACGTGAAAGAGGAATCAATTATGAAAATAATAACCAATAATGGAAGTCGGGCTCGTCAGGATATTTATTAAGACTGCATTATTATTCATGTATTTTATATTCGACATATTAACATGTAATCATAAGGCGATTAGTCGTATACTAACAATTGTGAGGAAGTTCTTTATACATATTATATGACACCAGTTATTGTATTAGCGTGACAAGTCGCTGCCGGCGGTCCAGTTGTTGTAACTTACTCAACCATGTCATCGTTTATGGAGTCAGCGACTTGTTAAAAGGACATGAGAATATAATCAGAAGCTTTGTCGTTACTATTCAATGTAAGAACTTCTTGACACTATCACCTTATCGAGTTTTGTCTCCGGTTTGCTTATAATCATGGGGTTGCGCAGTCAAATTATCAATAACATTTTACATTTCATACTCACTGGTTTTTACTGTTGGTAATTTAGTGTGTAACCCTGTGTGTTGTGTATTTGATTATTGTACAATCATCACCCGACAACGAAGTGGAAATTTTCTCTGCTGTATTTTCAAGTGGATTTAATGCATACTTGCAAGTCGCTGTCCAGTTACGACTCCCGTGTTCAGTCGATTCCTCTTTATGACGCCGTGTATACCATTTGTTAGATGTGAGACGGCGGTAGACCGTCGCCGATGTACGCTATATAATATTTGTGTAACTACTTACTACATCATATAATATGTATATAATATGTTAAAATAAGAAAAAAAAACGCAAAAAAAATCGTAGCATATAAATTCTAGGTGTATTTATTTTAAAAATGAAAGTCAATTTTGTAATATCACGTGTTAGAATTTACGCACCTTTTGTTAATAATTTTTCCTTTTTATTAAAATAATATTATCAGTTTTTATCTTTACAAAATTAATGAGCTTATTCTCTATTTAGAGACTTTTTCAGGGAATTAGATCGCGTTTGCGGTAGGGTATTTGTATTTAATAAATTGAAAGACGGTGATGTCAGACAAGCGGAGCCCCGGCGCAGGCTGTAGCCGCGCGGTCGTGCGGGAGATAGAAGTTATGCTCAGCTTTACTTCATTAATATATATATCTTTTTTTATTTTAATAATTTCAATGCATTTCTGTATTATAAAATCATTATTTTATATTAATTCGATGAAAATCATAATGAATTATATTTTGTTTATTAGAATAACGAAGATAATAATTATGAAATATGTTAACTTGCGGATCATACGGTTTCCATGTGTGGGCTCCGTTCCACGGGAATATTAGGCAGTGTGGAGCCCAGGACTGTAGGAACATCAAATGTGAATTTACAAGTGAACTATTACTATTTTGTGAACTAGTGGCGCGGGTATTATGTCTACAGCAAGCGGATATCTGTAGGAATGACAACGCTATTTCTAAACCATGATTTTATCAAAGATTGTGAAAACAGCGTGCTAAACATCATGCCATGTAACTAAAGGTTAGCGGTTCGTGTAACCCCCGTTTGTTAAAAGTTCCGGTAAATTGTGATTGGTAACGTAGGACTGACCGCGAGACGCGCGGGTAATTGACAAGGAAGGTGGTGTACGAAGGAAGGGTGCTAAATTTAATGAGAATGAAACAAACAAAATGCGCGTGTGTGTAGGTCATACGCTTCAAAATTTTTTATATATTGGGGAAGGCTACATTTTGAAATTCGGTTTGTTAATTTCAGGTTTAAAACGGCGGACGATTCGAACGAACATAGCGAAGAGACAGAGGAGATTAGGTAAAAATAAAGTAAAGTACTTTTTTAAATTGTAACATATCTCGGTTGCGTGCGTCACGGCACTTAGGATACGCGTGGATGCCCGAACGCACTGCAGTTTGACGTCCAATTGCGTTGCATTAATATGAATTAAACAATCACAAACTGTCCGTTAATAACCGTCCTAATGAATACCAAATTCAAAATTGTCGTTTAATCCATGGATTTAATTATAAAAAGCTATCGTTTTAATTTTTTATTTTTCATTTTTGGTTTTGATTTGACGTCATTAACGGATCTTATTGAAAACTTTGAAAGTAACCTCGTTTTATATTCCCGTACAGCGCTTCTGTATTTTACTGTATTTTAAAGGTTTTTTTATTTTCTTTATTATAGATATTTTTGTCGTTCATTTTTGAGGCAGCTCTCACTAGAACATAGGAGCGGTTTCTTATGTTCTTTTAACTAAATAAATACGTGGGCGTTGACTGAGGACTACATAGGACCTATTGATTGATGAGGACTTACATTTTTCTATTTTATTTACTTCATACTTTTACCGACACATAGTAATGCCCCCGCCAGTCATATGATAACATAATTCCACTTTAGTTTTGTGTTTCGAATATTCAAACTGTAAATACATCTACACATTAGTTATTAAGTTTACGAATATTTAAAATTAGTATAATTAAAAGTACGTTTAGTGAATAATTATACCTTTATTGGGGAATAGTTATTTCGTCAAGTAAATATAATTTGGACAAATTATTTTTTATATAAATTTTAGTTAGTTTAATGGTCTCGCTCATTTGTCAACTGCTTCCGAAGCTGTCCGAGACCCAGTCTTGCCACTTATGATGTATCGTGCTCTGATAACTATTGTATGTACAATTCCCCAATGGAGGTAGCTCCTACTGATTTGACCTTTGTAAACATTCATTAGTGCGATCATTACAAACTGAATCGACCTAGTGAACGTCCGAACTGAAACAATATTGTATCCACCGTCTACGTAGTATAACTGACAGTATCATTCGGAAGTTTGTTAACAATTACTATTTGTTCATTGGTGTACTTGGAAGTACTTCTAAATAAATATGTAGTGTAATGCCCTAGTGTCAACGAAATACAATTACAATAAAATACATAAAAGTGTTACTCTCAACTGTAATAAGCAGGAGTGTACGTTGTTCTCTCGTCCGTAGTGAGTAACGTGATATGTTGTTCACTTACACTATCAACCATCTACTGCACCTTTAATCTGCGACGTAACCAATTTTATATCTAATTCATCTACTCGAGTATTGTACTCAGAACCTTAACGAAACCCTATATTTTAACTCACCTACACTTGAAAACCGACGATGTATCTATTTTTATTACGGGAAACTGATCAGTTTAAATAAATCTTAAGCAACATAACATTTTTCGTCTATCACGTTGGTATTTGTGGTTCAGTGGGTGTTAGGAGGTCTATCTATCGATGGGTCGCTCGTTTTTGTCGGTCTATAATGTCTGTTGTTGGTTCGATTCTCGTGTCTTGGTCGTTTTCGGTTGTAACGTGACGTTATGTTAGTTGTTGTGGTTGGTTGTCGGGTTGATCGTTTTGGAAAATACTTTGAACCAGGATTTAATTTTGAAATTATAATAAACTTAGTACTGTTACTTATATAACACCATAGGTACCTGTGGTGGGTTATAAGTGATGGTCTTTTCGTCATTCGATTTTCGATTGGTCAATATTAATATTTTGCATTAATATTTCACCAATCTGTTTGTTGAATGATGTTCCAAATCTAAGTAGCTACTACTACGACGTTATATATACAACCACTATTTAAGCTATTCAACGATGTTTATCATGGAAATAAAACACATAATGTCTTTTTGATTTCTTTCTACTACGAAACACTACGATTGATATCTAAAGTACGGTGATTTAAAAACCTAACCTGTTTCTCACAGAACGATTTCAAGGGTATTTACACGAAGAGTAACTACTTATTCGTACCATGCTGTAAGTATATAGACGAGGTCAGATACTAAAAGATTCCCCTTCATAGTATATGTATGACATAATGTAGCACTAATACTACGTATAAGTACATACACCAATCAGTGGATAAAAATAATAAATGTTACTAAATGATTCCTGTGTTTAATTTTGGCCTGGTAACCCATTTTTTTATTAATATGGCAATACTAAAACGTACCTTTGCGTAAAAGTACGTATTATTGTATGTATACTCTTTACGAATACTGAAAAGCTACTTAATAAAGGTGTACCTAAATATCGCCATCTCTGTCATCTAAGCGCGACTAACAATTGAGTGGCGTTTGAGCATATCAGCGTTTGAGGTGAGTGTATTGCAGATTGAAGTGGTGTACAACTGAAACGTAAATTCCAGGTGGTGGAGCTGGAACACTATATCCTATCCAATACAGTTGAATTGAAATTGAACTTCTAATTTTAGTAGAGGCAACACCGTGCATTGTAAAATGGCATCTTCAATGGAAAGTTTTTAAATAAATTATTAATTAAGTCGCTACTGTTCAGTGTAGTCTGCCAATTTTCACGTAAAGCTTGTATTCAAACGTAATATTTTCGTAATCTATGTGTAACATACAAATAAATCGCTAAATGAGTGCTAAGCATAAATTTCGGGAACTATGAAGAACTATAAAGCTGAAGAGTTAAAAGTTTAGTTTTTTATTTTTAGCTTTCTTCCTAGAAAATTGCGACATGCTCCATACAAAATTCCACTTCCTGTTTTAGGGAAGTGGTGGGTTAGAAAGAGACAAAAAGTAGCCGATGTCTATCTTCTCCTATAGATCCTTTCAACTATCTCCATCAAAAACAAGTTAAACATTTTACAATTGGATTAAGCAACATGGTTAAGAATATTATTATAGAATTAAAATTCATTGAAACATCAATGTTTTTCATGTGTTCTCCTATGGAGCTGGACCAGCCTGCCTCCAAGCGTATTTATCCTCTTACCTTTCTGCAAATGCGATACACTGATGTCACGAACAGTTTGACCTTTATAATGACATCAATTACAAACAAGTAGATACATAACCAGTATGGTGATTGTATGGAACACACGACAGTGCCGCCACCTTCAATGGGGTCTACTATATTTTTTGCACAAAGAATGGCGCTAATATGAAGATCTTCATGTAGGTACTTCGTGAAATAGGAAATGCGGACAATGACAGAATTTCACAACCATTGGCCCGCCCGCTTCTCATAAATGAGAGTTCGGGTTCCAAACCTACCAACAGCAAGTACCAATATCTTTTTTACGAGTTTACTTTCCAGGATTATTGTATGTATATCTAGCCTTGAGTGACAATCAGTGAAGGAAAACATCGTGAGGAAACCTAGGCTTATAATTTCTATTTGGACGTATTTATGCAAACAGGAACCAATCTACATACTAAATTCGAGACAAGGACACAGAACATTCTAAAAGTATATCTTCTATCGACCCTGTAAAGATCAAAATGATGTGACAATTTTGGGACCGAATAAAACAATTCTATGACAAACTAACCGCAGTTGTTCAACAAACTAACAAGGTCCCTTTTATTTATAATTTATTAATCAATTAATCAAAATAAGAAGAACCATGCGGATTGGTTCTTGTTTGCGTATTAAAATAGGCATTTAAATATTCTTGCATTTTTATAAACATTCACATTATAAAACCAACCCAATGTGTGCACAAGACGAAAAATGAAGATTTCATGTCATCATTAATTATCATCGTCAATTAGAAAGCAATCTACAGATTTGATTTTTTGTTTGTTTGAATAGAATAGGGTCCGAAATTACTGGACCGGTTTTAAAAATTCTTATGCCGTTGGACCAGGGATTTATAAGAAACAAAATATGAATTCAATTAACTTAATACATTTATTCATGGACTAGCTTCTGCCCACGACTATGTTCGCGTTCTTATAAAGGTTTGGGGGCAGGTTTACCAAGGAAATGGTGCATATTTTTTGGTGATCATAAATAGTCCACATACCAATTTTTAGCTTTCTTCCTAGAACATTGCGAAAAGCTACATACAAACTTCCACCTCCTGTTTTAGGGAAGTGGTGGGACAAAAAGTAGCCAATGTCTATCTTCTCCATCCTTTCAACTGCCTCCAATAATAGTAGGGGAGCCCACGATGCTAAATTGGGATTTACTTGAGCGTCCTTGGGACCTACTGGATTTTGAAGATATGCTGATAGAAAGAAGAAATGGTTTAGTGACAATTTCTTCCACCAGTGGGGGAAGGGGGAATCTACAGATCTTTGAAATTGTTAAGCGTAACTTTTGTTCTAGTGGTCGAGCGTGTCAGATATTGATAATGTACGTATATGTTGGGTATGTTCAACATGACACTAGGTTTTCCCCATATGTTAATCTGACGCGCTCGAGTAACTACCGAAATCCCTTCATGGGCTCCCCTACTATAAAAAAAATACGTTAATTTCTGTTCTGTCTTAACGGACAAACAAACAGACACACACAAACGTATAGATTTCTATGTCATCCGACATTTTTTGACATGACAATGGGAATGACCCATTGTTTTTTTATGTTATCATGATAACAATAAGGTATGGCAAATAGTATGACAGCAGCCTAAAAAGAAAAGTCCATGTATCTAATAACATAACATAACATCACGCCTTTTTGTCCCCGAAGGGGTAGGCAGAGGTGCCACTGTACAATGTAACACCCACTTTTCACTATTTATATTATGAGTCCCATGTAATAGGGGGTGAGCCTATTGCTATGGCAATAGGCAATACCCCTATACCAGGCACAAGTCCAGACTCCGTGCTACTACTGAATTTTTTTTAAAACCAGTAATACTGTGGCCGACCCGGGATTCGAACCCGAGACCGGCAGTCGCACTTGCGACAACTCGGCCAACCAGTAAATCTAGGAACATATTTAATAAGGTCTCTAAGTGAAATAAAATAACAAATCCAATATTTTATACATTTTATTAATTATAAGGCGGTTTCAACACATAAATATCCTATCAACATACATTCAGAAATCAGTGAAGATGACCTAAACTACATTTGACCGCCGAGCTAATGACGACAAGTCTGGCCCCCAGTGCTGCGACAATTTGAACTAGCTGCCTATTGCGTGTGATGAACTGCTTGCATTTAACATACGCATAGAATGTATTTAGTATGCTATTTTAGAGCTTGACGAGCTTGGCGTTAAGTAAGAAGACCTTTAATCTTGAAATGTTGGTGACGACCGTTGTTCTGGACATATTTCGCAGTCTTTACGGAGTTTGGCTGCAAACAAACAAATAACAAAATTTAATATTTTAAGTAAGCTAACCTCGATTGGTAGGTTATTTATGTATATTCAGTCGAGATTATTCTCACAGCCAATCCTATGGTGGACCGTGATCAAATTCAATCAGCTCCAGCAACGTGTCATGTGTGATGATTCATTCTTTAATTTCCTTTGACACGTATAAATAAGGTTAGGAAACATTTGTACTTCTGCGGGGTAGTTATAGCAATAATCTTAAGTTTGCTATAAGATATCATAGAAGTTTATATTTAATGTCGCGTCGTACGGCCTGTGACAGATCATCTTTAAACTGTCGCATCAAGTCCGACGCTTACCTACCTACGTACCTGGCTCATTGGTATAATAATATGTACATATACAACATACAAAAAAAATACAAGAAATTCACCTGTAGGTACGATGTTTTTGCCTTTGAAAAAGCCGACGGCGGCCCGCGCGCTGACAACCTGCCGGTGGCTTTACCTATTGACGTTATACTGAAATATGTATATCATACGTTCATACGACGTAAGCATATGACATACGATTTAACGTAAAAAATAGTAATAATAGCTGGGTTGGGGCTGCGCCGTTACGGTGCTTTCATAGGTAATCTTACTAGTGACGAATCTGTCAAGCAGCGGCGTATTGCTTTAGATTTTAGTTTTATCCAGGTTTTCTAAATATTGAACTTACCTACACAGACTGCTCCAGGATCCCATCCCAGGTGAGCACCTCCATCATCTTCTCCATGGTCATGTTGCGTTGGCCGTAATTGTATTAGAGTCGAATACAGCTTTCCTTACAATCTCCCGCCATCTCCGTGGACTGCCTGACGCAAACTGGCAATGGGTTTCACTTGATCTGTCAACACATAGATAGGTGATCTACCTTGTAATCTGATACCTTATACCTTTCCTGGCATGACACGGCCAAAGCACTGTAGCGTGCGCTTGTTTTTTTATGACCGATAGACGATTTGTGAAGCCGAGTTCTCGGAATAAGGAAACAATGCTGCGGAACTCTGTTCATGATATTCCAAGCATCTCCTTGTAGCGCCACATCTTTAGAGCATTTATCTTCAATTTTCCTACTCACATTCTGTCCACGTCTCTGTCGCGTAAAGGAAGATTGGGACTACTAGCTTCCGCATGACACTCATGTTGGTGATTTTGGTGATGTTGCAATTCTTTATAACTTTGATTTCTGTTTCACAGTTTTGCAAGAGCCGCCACCCGCTCTCATTATGCAGCGATGTTCAAGTATGTACCATCTGAAAAAATTGTCATATCACAAAATATTTCAGGCACACATAACATAACTACATAATGTATGTATATGTAAGTGTGTACTTCTACCTAGACAATATAACAATATTTGAATTGTTTATATCATAACAAGTAGAAGATATACTGTCGCGTCGGGAGCTGTGTGACAGCTTCGCTTATTACTGCCACTTCCCATCAACGACGCTTATCTAGTAATATCTAACACTACAAATTTTGTCGTTTAGCTTAACGTACCTACACTGACACTGACTGCCCTCGAGTATGTTCCCGGGAGAGTACTTCCATGAAGCTGGTAATGCAGCACAGCCGCATCTGCAACGACATCCCCGTGACGTCACATAATATTGTAAGTACATGGCAAGTATGGCGACATACATACCATTTACACATAGGTATGTTAATTTGTATGTCTACTGATAAAATATACATAATCTAAATTGCATATTCTGGTAAAGTAGACAGGTTATTGTTGCGCCGACGATTAAAAAAATAGCCTGTTAGTCTTGACGACCATTCTTTGAAATGCGGCGCTTAGCTATTGGAAGTTGAAAATAAACGTTTGACTATCGATACCTATCTACAAATTGAAAAAAAAAACAGTCAGAGTGCTTCTGCTCGTAGTATGTACTACATAATACCTACTCTGGAGGTTTGGACTTGTTATAGTAGACTGCGGAAAGGGGGGAGGTAGAGGTAGATTTCAATTGTAATCGACAAATCGTTCTTCCTCCACAGCAGGCGCACCGGATGGTGACGTATTGATCCGTGGAGTGGACAACGGACACTCTCGCTACACGTTGCGTATGGGCAGCAACCGGCTGCCTCGCAACGTGTAGCGGGTTCGATTCCTGCACGCCACAAATCTTGGTGTTATTCACAAATTGCTGTTTCGGTTTGGGTGTGATATGTATGTGAACTTGTGTGTTTGTAAATGTACCCACGATTCAGGAGAAAATCCTAGTGTAGCAAAGTTAAAAAAGAAACATTCCAAAAGGGCCCAAATTATTGTGTACCCTACCGTAGGGTGACTAGAGTGTAGGTAGGTACACACTAACACAAGGCCTCGCGCCCGCGTGTCCGATGGGACACCAGTGTGGGTTTTAGGTACTCAGTAAAAGCCAGACAGTCTTTCTAAGGTAAAGAAGCTCCATGATGAATTTAAGAATTACCAATGTTAATGTTAATTGTTATTGTGTTTTAAGTCCTTTGTAGGCTCTCGACATACTCCTATTTTTAGCGATGTTTCAGAATTTAACCATTGCCATCATTTGTACACAACAATAAGACAATCACAATGTTACACTTACCTACATCGACGTCCCTCAATTACTCCCAGGAGAACACTTCAGTATCCGCAACCACCTGCAACAATATCACCGTGACGTCACATAACATTGTACGTACATTCTGGTACATGACAAATTGATCATATATAAAACACATACATACATAACTGTTAAACAGTCACATCTTATACACATGTGTGTTGTGTCCACGTCTCTGTCGCGTAAAGGAAGACTGGGACTACTAGCTTCCGCATGACACTCATGTTGGTGATTTTGGTGATGTTGCAGTTATTTCGAACTTTCTGTCATTTTGCTTTCGCAGCCGCCGCCCGCTTCCATTACACTGCGAGTGTCAATTATGTACCATCTGAAAAATACCACAGTCATATCACAAAACATTGCAGGCACTCATAACATAACTACAAAATGTATGTACATGTGTACCTCTACATAGACAATATAACAATATTTGAATTGTTTATATCATAACAAGTAGAAGATATACTGTCGCGTCGGGAGCTGTGTGACAGCTTCGCTTATTACTGCCACTTCCCATCAACGACGCTTATCTATTAATATCTAACACTACAAATTTTGTCGTTTAGCTTAACGTACCTACACTGACACTGACTGCCCTCGAGTATGTTCCCGGGAGAGTACTTCCATGAAGCTGGTAATGCAGCACAGCCGCATCTGCAACGACATCCCCGTGACGTCACATAATATTGTAAGTACATGGCAAGTATGGCGACATACATACCATTTACACATAGGTATGTTAATTTGTATGTCTACTGATAAAATATACATAATCTAAATTGCATATTCTGGTAAAGTAGAAATGTTACTGTCGCGCCGACGATTAAGCAATAGTCTGTTAGTCTTGACGACCATTCTTTCAAATGCGGCGCTTGGCTATTGGAAGCTGAAACGTTGAACTATCGACACCTATCTATAAATTGAAGAAAAAAGATATTTCGAGTGCTTCTTTGCGTAGTATGTACTACATGATACTTTCAACTAGTTATAGTAGACTGCGGAAAGGGGGAGATTTAAATCACAAATTTAAGTATGGGTGAGCCATGCTTCGCGCACAATCGGCACGAATGGGCCGGCTCGACCGGAGTGATACCACGGCCTCACAGAAATCCGACGTGAAGCAACGCTTGCTTTGTGTTTCGTCATGTGAGTGAGGTTACCGGAGGCCCAGCTAACCTCCCCCTTTCCCCAATCTCCCCAATCCTCAAACTCCTAATCCCCAAAAGGCCGGTAACGCACTTGTAATGTTTCTGGTGTTCCAGGTGTTCATGGGCGACGCCGATTGCTTACCATCAGGTGATCCGTCTGCTCGTTTACCGGCTTATGCCATAAACGGAGGGTGACATATGGATCCGTGGAGTAGACGGTGGACTTGGAGAAGTCCCCATCACCCCACTTGATAGAATATAAGGTGACGAGCCACGATGTGTTTTGTTTAAGCGCCCCTCAAAAATGGAAGGGGAAATCTTCACAAACCGGTGACAGCGCCCGCGGGCTCAGGCCGCAGTGGGCCGCACAAGTTCCGGGCTGCGGCTCAGCCTGGGTAAGTGAGTGTCCGTCTGTCTGACAGTCTTTCTAAGACAGAGAAGTTACATGAGTTGTTTAGGAATTACTTACTAATGTTATTGTGTTTTTATTTCCTTTGCCTAAGCCTACCTCTCGATACGGTCTTAGGTTTTGCGCTGTGTCAGCATTTTACCATTTCCATCATTTGTACACAACGTTAAGACAACTGCAATGTTACACTTACCTACATTGACCGCCTTCAAGCATACCCAGGAGAAGACTTTAGTACCCGCAACCATCTGCAAAAAGATCAGCGTGACGTCACATAACATTGTAGGTACATGACAAATTGACCACAAATTCACAACACACACATTCACAACAGTTAAACAGTCATATATACATGTGTGTTTGTGTGTATTTCTACCTTAGGAATACAACAATATCTGAATTGTTTATATTGGTACAAGTAGAAGATATACTGTTGCGTCGAGAACTGTGTGACAGCTTAACTTATTACTGCCACTTCTACTTATCAACGACGCTTATCTATAAATAGTGATCAGTTTCCAGCCACTGGGAAGTCCCAAACTAGAGTGTGCGGATGATATAGCAGGAAAAGGTGGTTTTTAATCAGTAAGAGTTTGAAAGTAAGTCTGAAACTTTTCAGACTTTTCACTTATTACATTTCCACTTACTCAGGCCAGAAAAAATTAAAATAATGCTATTACTAAGAAACATTTACAATGGTTTCAGTAAATAGCATCATTAAGTACTGCAATACTGATCAGATCAGTGGGATAATGATACAACACTCAATGTTGGCATTCATTTTAAACTGTCAAACACCAAGCGGTCACCGGTGACCACAAACTATTGTTCTTTAATTGTGTCTATAATGATGGTACTCAACGAGTTAGGGCCCACTGAGATTTAGAAATAAAGCAAGTGGTGTATAACTTAATAGTGTTTTTTTCTGTTATTTGCCATACATATTTGCTACTCACATTTACACTTCACATTACGAATATTAAACCCGTAATTTAATTATATGTAAAACTTTACATAATCCTTACACATAATACTAAATATTAGAAACTGATAAATTTAAGTTACAATGCGCCTTTACCAATCATGTTATGGGCCAATGCATGGATTTATATACCTGTACCAATGTGTTACTCTGTATCTAAGTAGAATACTCGTCGAGTACCGGTTTTGTAGACACAATTATAGAACAATAGGTTGCGGTCACCAATGACCGCTTGGTGTTTGACAGTTTAAAAGAGAATTAAGTCCTGTATTATGAATACAAAGAAAATGTTTATACAAAAACAATTATCAAATATATGCTTTTTTTAAGGGGGGAAAATCGTTGAATGACTGCTTCTGCCTAGGTGAGGCGGGAGGGAAATAAGTGTCAAATTGTTACTGACTAAAAACTACCCTGTTCCTACTCCTGCACTTCGAGCCGGAGTCCCAGTAACCCGTTAGGTTCTCCGCAACTCCGTATCGGCATCAGCCCTATTGGGCCCCATCCGTCGTGGTCTAATGGCTCTTTGAGGCGTGCGCTGAATGCGACGCGCCCTATACTCGGGTCTGGTTCTAGTCGGGCGGCAAGTCATCCATGCTCGCCAAGTCTCGCGATCCCCGACGCCCAGAATGTCCTCCGTTGCGGTTGAGTTGTGAGGAGGCAGCGCTTCGCTGCCTCATGCGCTCCGCCTCCACCCTAGCTAGCATGACTACTTCGCAAAAGGAGGAGACGGCTTACCAGTCCCCGCACTAGGGCCGGACGCGAGAGGTCGCCGGTTGGCCTCGAGCATGCACTGTGACGCCGGGTACCCGGCAACCGGAATGTGTGAAAGGGCACTTATAATAAGATCTAATATTCCCAAGATATTGGTGGCAAAATAATTTTGTTACAAGTTATAGGTGAATAATATTATTACCTATATTAAACAAAGTGTTATCCTGCCATTTAGAGTGGATAATTTAGAAAAGAAATATATTTGTTCAAACTTCAAGATAAGTATGGGCAAGTTATCCAAATAAATAAAATACTTCATTAGGTAGCTCTATTAGTAAAATAAAACAAGAGAATACATAGAACTGACTTTAAAATATTTGTGGGTACAAAATAACTGAACATCGCTAGTAATACTAAATACTACCACATCTAAAAAAACTTAAAACGTCAATACTTCCATATTAATTTTAATATAAACATACCTGTTTAGTATCTGCTTTGATAGTAATTGTCTGATAATAATTAAATTTATTAGTCAATATAAAAGAAAATGAAAATTGGAAAACTTGTATTGTATTAATGGAGGAAAACACGGCAAAGGAAAATATTGATTAAATACTACCAGAGATAATGGACAATTTAGGGTGGTTAGGGTATTGGGGTATTGGCATGGATGTTATGTCTATGGGTAAGGGTATTGGTATAGTTCTAGTATATGGATCAGATAATGCATCTCTTGAATAACGAAATGAACGAAAGACTAATATTTCAGCTGAGCCAACAGTGTTTACTGCGTTACTTTGGAAAAGATATCATTTTTATGAGGAACTAAATTTCTAAATAAATTATTCACTTTATTTCTACATAATTTCTTAAACTCAAGTCAACTAATCAGCCGTAGGAATTATGGTTTACAGGATAAAATAATGTTTTTTATCAGAGATCCATAGATGTATAATAGAGGATCTGAAATATGATCACGTGATTTTAAGCCAAAAGGACCTCAAAAATGGCGGATTTCCTCCCACAATAGTGTTGTACATACGTCAACATAATATATCGACAGAGGCAATTCAATGTAAAAATATAAAATAATAACTTATTTAATATACTTAGGATTGTCTTAATGTTGGGTTCTCAGGGCATGAAATAAAGTTCGACACACATATGCCTGTAAACTGTATAATATATTGGATAGAAACTTTAGATTAAACATAAACAAAGTTGCACAGTAAAAGATAAAACTCAAATTATTCGCGGTACAAATACGGAGCGCGTGCGTCGCGGCTCCGGCGCGGGACTCGTTGTTCTCTCACGTCCTCGCAAGCGTCGAGCGGTCAGTGGCGGGGAAGCGGGAGAAGACGAATAGAGAGGTGGCATGTTTCCACTAGAGCTACGCGCGTGCGTCCGACACAAACCAAAATCGAAATGCCGCGTTACGCTTATCATTTAGTTTAATTCGAAACAAAGAAAAAAGAATTGTTTAGAGTACCTACAACTGATTATTAAGCATTCACATACCTAATCATAATCTCACTAATATTATAAATACCAACACCATTGAAACCTTCGTTCAACAATAACTTTAGGTAAAACTTTTAAGCGAGTACTGTATTAAAAAACCTGACCCTCCCAGAGAATTTTGGCTATAGAATCTTTTGAAATTTTACTTTTGGCTTTAGAAATTTTGCTCCAAAATCACATAGACTGAACTTATTTCATATACCTATATAAAGTCAGACAGCTAAAATTCAAACACAGTTATATCATCGAACTCCGTGCGTTTCCCTGTACAGTACGCTGGAATGGGGACAGGGGTTGGTCAGAGTGCATTATAATGAATAAATTTCAAACGTTTTGCTGATTACAATAATATATTCATGGCGAAATAATATTAATTTTGTTAAAAAAAATTCTTGAGTTATGTTAGTTGTGCTTTTTGCCGTAATATTTATATCTTATATCTAAATATGTAAGAATAATAGCGTGAGAACTCTCATGTTCACTGATAGCGTATGAAAATTTAGCCCTTTTTAAAAAAGAGTAGGACCTACTTTATCTTGCAGTCGAATAATACACAATCTTCTTCAAAATGGTTGGAGCATATTATTATTATTGATGCAAATTTTATATTCTCCATATTTCATTTTTTCCATCCACAATTCATTTAGGATGTCTTTTAGGAAATCTAAAACCAAATTTAATGATCATTATGTGCAAATTAATTCATTTAATTACAGTAGTATACGAAAACAAATAAAAATATTGTAGTTGTGCATTTTAGGGCGTCACTCAACTATCAAACATGTCATAAATAAAAGGCTCTATATCAATATTTTCATTTAATACAGTTAAATATACCGTAAATTTTCGTTAACCAGACGGCTATGTCAATATTATTGCTAATACTCCTATCGATAACTTTATAAAACGCAGATCAGCACTATGAATAAAATGTAAACAATTTAAAAGTTTACTAGTTCAATTTATGTAATAACAGTCTTATGAAAGTATATATAATAGCAGAAAACCCGAATTAGAAGTCCTAATAAATACTTTTATCATAATTTACCCAAGAAGGATACATAAATAACAAAGAAAATTAGAAATAACCTAAAACATGACAATTCTTCCCATTTTTACGTGAATTTGAATCACATCCCTTGATGCAACGCTTGCTCATGTTAGTTCAGTTTAGATTCATTTCTCGTATTGGCAAAAAACTCTATGAATATCGAATCAGTTCACTGTAACATCGAAAATATTTTCAAAAACCGTATTGTTGAAAGATGATCTACCAAAAACATGAGCGGAATGTGTCTCTCTTAAATACGGTGTTTGACAACATTCAAAATACTCTACAAAATATAGAGAAAATACTCTACAAAATATTTTACGAGACAATAGTCTAAAGAATACCACTTCTACTTTATTTTAACAAAATAATGTATATTATTTACATATTTCACAAAATAAAAATGAAGTTTTTTTAAATAATTTCACGTGAATCGAAACGCTCTGTGATTGGTGGTAACACTCGTGACGTCACACGCCAGCGAACAGGTGTTTTGCGCTATTGATTGTCGTTGGAGTTTACTGTGTTTTGGCTGTAATTTCTATTTGTAAACTATTTTCGAAGAATTACTTGTTACTACTTGCTACTACGGACATTGTTTATAACTAGTGTTATTAATATTAGTTTACCATACTAAAAATGGACGCAAATTTTGTGCAAGCCGATAGCAGCAACTTACCCAGGATAGACGCTTTAATGGTTGCACTTTTTTTTAAGAATAACGCTGATTATTATTCATCTGAACTAAAAAATGTGAAAACAGCAGTGTAAGTACCAAAGTGGAATCTATTTACATATTATTTACCCTTGTAAACTTATATGTTATATGTTGTAGAAAAAAATTCACGCGGCATATTTTAATCATTTGTTTTCATATATAATAAATGCTATTGTTGCATTATAATACCTTTATGTCGTTATATAATATTATTCCCGTATTAATTGATTTTAATAAGCCTTAATTTTTAGGTTAGGAACTTAGAGTCACATCTCTTATGTGGTTTTTGCTTTTGTTTACAGGTCTGCAAGGGAATCTTATGGTGACGACGCCATTGGCTATGTGCAAATCAAACGGGAGCAAGGAGTTTGCACAATGAAATGCAAAATATGCCCAGAGCATAAAGTTCGGTCAAAGGCATATAATGTAACAATGATTATCAATGAAGAAGATAGTGAAGTCATTAGCTGCCAGTGCCTTGACTGTGCTGCTTCAGCTGGGGGATGCAAGCATTCAGTTGCTTTCCTGATGTGGGTCCATCGTCGCACTGAGGAACCTGCATGTACTTCAGTAGAATGCTACTGGAAAAAACCTATTCTATCGCGAGTAGGGACCACTATGAAATATATCACTGTTGAGCAGATGTGTGAGAAAGCAGTGCCTCATAGACCAAGTTCATCTGAACTATATAATGAATTCATTTCTGTGGCCAAATCTAGAAATATAACCAAATGTGAATTACTTAAATATCAAAATGATTTTAAACATAAAGATGTCATGCAGTATTCATTACACTGTTTTTTGATGAATCAATCAGAGGAAACTAGTGCTGATGTTGATAAATTTGTTGAAGTGATGAAGACAAATATCACAGAGGCTGAAATAAGTGCCATAGAAGAAGCAACGAGAAATCAAGATAAAAGCAGTTTGTGGTATGAGATGCGTTATGGCCGTATCACAGCTTCAAAAGCATATCAAGTGAGTGTTTGCCGGACACCAGAAGGGTCATTGATTGCTACTGTGATGGGTGCAAAAATACCAGATACGCTAGCAATGAAAAGAGGAAGAACTTTAGAAAAGGCAGTCCGAAAGAAAGTTGCTTCCATATTGAACAAAAAAATAAGTATATGTGGACTTTACGTATGTAATGAGAGTCCCATGATTGCAGCATCTCCTGATGGCCTAACAAAGGATGCTGTTATTGAAATAAAATGCCCTACTCAGGCTAAAACCAAAGAGAACTATATAAAAAATGGAGTAATTACAGAAAAATTTAATGCACAGGTGCAATTACAAATGCATGCAACTAGCATGAAAAAATGCTATTTCTGTGTTGCAGATAGCAAATTTGAAGAGAACCAAAAGGTGGATATTCTTTTAGTGCATTATGATAGTGCTTATACCCATAATTTACTGCAAAAGCTGGTTACTTTTTGGAAAAATAATGTTTATCCAGTTTTGTACCGTAGCACTAGGGTGACAGATTAATAAATAAAAATGTTTTCTGTGCACATTGTTTTATTTATTTTTCAATAGGTATTTACATTTATTTATAAAACTTACAAATACATACACTACACTAGAAGTCCCCATGCCTTTAGTTTTTGCTACATTCATTGCTCTCAGTGAAAAGTGTGTTATGTAACATATCTATCCCAAGATGAAAGAATTTAACTAACTTTTATTTAATTTAACTAAATATGTGTACATAATAATATATAATAATACCTATGCACTGATTGTGATTTGACTTGTTTGATTAATTGTCTTGGCAAGCACTTTGAGCTGTGGTTAGTTGTTTTGGAGCCTATTCAATGCAAACAAACAACTTTCCTTCTTAAAGATAACATTCATACATCACATCCTTATCAGAGGTAGACAGAGCCAAAAGGCCACATTTAGTAAGATATTCTTTCTTAATTTTTTCTTTACTTAGTATTTCTAGGAAGATATAATATTAATATACAAAACATTACTTAATAAGAGAGTCTTGCAAATTTATTAAAGCACATGCAATAATAATTATATGGTCAATTATACGAAGTATGTTGGTGTTTATCACTGTATGTTGTTTTAGCATGTGGAATTCTCTCAAGCGCCTTATTACTCTTTCCACATGAATTCGCAGGCTTGCAATTATTTTAGTTTGTCGGACTTCAGATTTGGATAACTTTACACCAGCACTTACACTAGGCGGCCGTAATAGTTTAATGCCTTTACTATGAAGTATTTGTTCTAGGTGTTTGAAGCCTCTGTCCGCTAAGATGCAAGTTCCAGGTTGTAATTTATCT